CGGAACTCTTAGCGGTTAACTATGTGAGTTGTAAAATGATTTAAATTTTTTTTTAAAACGCCAAATGATTTAGATCCACAATTTTATATGATAGCAAATGTATTTTAATAATTTCAGACAGACATCGGTCATTACATGTGCTACACATGCGAACGAAATTAACTTATGGTTGAAAGCGTCATGTTTATGGCGAAGTGTCGGTAAATTACTTCTTATATATATATATATATATATATGTATTTATAGGAAAAGCATATTTACTGCCCATAAAGCGATATATATATATATATTATATATACCTGTGATTCAATTTTTATGATGATCGTTGAAAGTTAAAATATTCTTTACAATGTTTTAACGTAAATAAATTTTACTATCATTGATAGCGAAATTACCGTTTAGCAGAGATGTTTGTCAATATAATAATAATTATTATAATTGTACGTACATATCATATTATTTTTTCACAGTCATTCCGAATAGTTTGTAGAAGTCACTTCCCGTAAACGATTTAGGGAAAATAAACTGAATAGATGATAAATCGATTAAGTGTTTTTTAAATTCACTGTATTATGTTGTGTAAATTGTACGTTATTTGTAAGATAGTAATAATTATTTTATGCGACTCGAGATTTACAAATATAGAGATAAAAAAAACACTTGCGATTGTTTTTGACTTCGAGGACGCTTTACTTAGTATAGTATTATATATACGCGTGTAACTGTAATCTTTAAACTGCTATGAATTTCGCTGTTAAGCCATTTAATCCAAATATATATTATAGTATATTTGATGCAGCGCTTAAGCCGTTAATTAATAGTAGAGGATAAAGAAAATAAAATAACCGAAATATTCTCATTCGTACGTAAAGTTGTACTGATTGAATTTAACAACTACTACAGTACAACGTGTAGAAAATAATACAAATCAAGTACGTGAACAACAAGTATAGTAATTATTATTTAGTATATTATATCACTGGATCGAGTGAACTTATTTTTGTAAATATTATGTCTCCGCACGAACAATTATATTCTATAGAAAATAACTACTTTTATTAAGACGATTGTTTTTGTTACAAAGGCGTCAGAATAATTCAATGGAGCAAAACACATTTTATTTTTAATAGGATATAAGACATATAACTCATTTTGGTATTATCAAAACAACATTACACGAATAATAATTTGAAAATGGCGATTTTGAAGTAACATCCAGTGCAGACAAAACTTTGTGTAAACTAGATCAATTTTGCGCCGGGTGTGCATTTTGTTTGTACGAATTTGATGTGTTAAAAACGTAAATTAATATTGTTGTTTTTCATCAAAATAGACTGTATAACTTATCAAAAATAGAATATATGCGTGATACATCTAAGAATATTAAAATTATACATAACCATGAGTGTTGATATTGTGATGTCTATAATACGTCGTGATACGACAACATAATATGTAATTATAAATATATTTCACGATAGGAGTGGGTAAATTTTTAAAACCTATTTTCTAAAAAATTATAAAACCATAATGTCCAATAAACTTTATTGGTGTGTTATACCTTTACATTAATTGTCTCTCCAATACCCCTTATTTAAATGTAGTGAAGATCCCTGTTCTTTAATCACTTAATAATTTAAGAAAAATTAAACTAAGCAGTTTCATTAGGCTTTGGTATATTATAATAATTTCTTTAAAAATAACGTTAAATCATTATTATTATTATTTTGAAGAGAGAAATTTCAAAAGTGAAGCTATTTAAAAACATCGCAGATTATAAGTCAAAGAGATGATAGTTGTCCGACTCTGGTTTAAGAGGAGAAAGAAAGAACTGTAACCATCATAGTTTTATACAAAAACCCCGGCAAAAGCGTTTGTTCTTTTAGGACCATTACAGTTAATTCAAGTAAATTGAACCTATTCACAGCAACATAATTTCATAGGAATACAATATATTTTTAGTGGAGTAACGTTCTTTTTAACAATAAATATAATTATAGTTTTCAAGTTGTAAGACTAAAAAAAAAAAACCAATATTAATGTTTTAACATTAGATAATAATAATAGATTTTTCATTATTTGCGTAGCGTTTTTGGTTCGCGATAAATATTAAACATTTATAACAATATGTCGATGATGGGTTTGCATGAAAATCACATTATATGAGATTTTATTTTAGCTGAATGATTTCTAATTTCAAATAAACACAACTAATTACGCTATGGATATAATAAACGCGGTGTTAGTAGTTTCAGTGTTTTTTCGGTCTATTAGTGAACAGGAATTCGTGTTTCTTAAATATTTCTGTAGCGTCGAAATACATACGTATGATTTTTGTTACTTGTCTTTATGTACTCATACACACACATATATGTATATATATATATATATAAATTACAACTTACTGTGTAACATTTACAATTATTTATTTACAAATGCAGCGTATGTAGGTACTTTGAAAGGGACTGTTAGGATTAACGCCATAGGTGTAAACGACCTGTTGCTGATCTTGTGTTAAATCCGGATGTTTACGATTGTATATTATGTATTAAATCACTCAATACCGGTAGCATAGTGTTTTTCTACCGGTCTCGTTGGCTGTGAACACATCTTGCACATATCGTGTAATGATTAACGGATGTGGTTTTTTCTCTCTCTCTCTCTCTCTCTCCCTCTCTCTCTTCTTCCTTGTGAGTGAAATATCGCATTAACTCGAGAACAGATGTTCTCCGCTTTATTCATTTTTGACAAAAATCTGCGAATACAATATTGACGAAAATAAATCGAAATAAAATTTCACTATTTTCAATGAGATGTACAGCCTTACAATCGTCGTTTATCTAAAGTGTTCGAAACTAAGCGTTTCAGCGAGAATTTACTTTTCTCGAGTAATATGACATGGCGATAATATAATTATATACTGAATATCGAGACGTGTCACCAAGTTGTCAAACAGTGACTTGTTACAAATATATGTGTATGATATGTTGACGAGATTCAAACACTATTATGTGAGTGGAAATGTGATGACATCCTGCAACTAATTTTTAAAATTGCCTATTTTTATTAAGCACAATTTAAAAAAGATTTTAATGCTATAGCGTTGGGTGAAATTTAAAATTTAATTTCAACCACAAGCCTTCATTATCCTAAAAAAAATGTCATAATATATTGAAGAATCCATCAATTGTTAAAAAAACATATTCTGTTAATCGTTCAATATAAAACTACGATTTGGCTATTTGATCAATAAAACGTTTGTTTATCAACTAAAGAAAATTTATAAGAATAAGGTGATGGATGCATACAATAATTATCATCTAAAATAGGGGAGATATGATAGGAGGCGTCCCCTGCATAGCGATATAATCCAAACCTGGACATGTCGCTAACCAATCTTATCATCACCGGGCGAATAAAGATGCTTATCCAAAATGGCCCATTTTAGGGCCACCCAACTCTGACAGTTATGTCAATTGACATCGAAGAACTATCTAGTCCCAAAGAAATAGAACTATCAGAACTATCTGCTAAATGGAAGTGTGATGTACTCTGCATCCAAGAAACACATAGAGATACAAATGACAACCGCCAAAACATCAATCGCATACAAATAGCATTAGAACTACCACATATAAAATATGGAAGTGCAATCCTCACGAAACATAATCTAGTCTTAAAGTTAGTAGGATCTAGTCAAGTAAATAATATAGAAATAATTACCATTGTATTAATGAATTTCTCAATAACATCAATGTACAAACCTCTAGCCCAACCAGACGAATATATAAACCCCAAAAACTTTAAAAGAGATACGAGTAATATAGTAATAGGCGATTTTAATAGCCACATTGTAAGTTGGAGCTATACGGAAACAAATCAAGATGGACAAAAGTTGGAAGCATAGTCAGAAGCAGAAAATCTAACGTTGATACATGACCCTAAGCTACCATACTCCTTTAATAGCGAACGCTGGAAAAAAGGCTACAATCCAGATCTCATCCTCGTATCTAACAATATTGCACAACAAAATTTAAAATACATAGGGGAACCGATACATAGCATAGACCAGTATGCCTGCAAACCCACGCTGTCGTTAGGGCATAGAGCGTACCTTTTAAACGAAGAGTTAATTACAAAAAAGCTAAGTGGAATGAGTTTACGGAAGTTTTGGAAAATAAAATTCAACAAATCGATCCCACACTACCAAACTACGATAATTTTGTTAACTTAAAGAAAGAAATATTCAAGAAATACATTCTTAGAGGATGTAGATCACAATATTTGCCGAAACTTGACAAACTCTCTGCAAGGACTTTCAAAAAGTACAAATAAGAATTTTATAGAGACCCTTTCGCTGCTAATACAATACTACTTGGATATAATTTGATGTAGTTGGTAAACGATAACAGAAGACAGAAATTGAAATCACTAGTAGAACACATGGACATGACCCGAAATGTCAAAAGAGCTTGGAATACCTTAAAACAACTAAATGGGGAACAAATTTATAATTTAAATAGGCACGTTTTATTCGATTTTTTTCACGTTATCGTGTTCGCTCCGCCGCAGCACCGCCATCGTTTTGCTTCAACTATAAGACGTGTGTTGCAGTTTAATAATACGAGGGTGTTTATGCAGTAGTGGTTAATGATATATATCCTAACGGAAGAAAATAGGTCAATGATGTAGACAAATAGCAGTAAAAAAAAAAATTAAATATTTTCTTGTTGGTTATTAATATTTCAACTTTCTTTTTATTTCCTACACGTGTAGATTTTCACAGTGATTTAATTATAATATTATAGTGTCGATAATAGTGTTCATAATTCTATATGCATGGTTAGGTATCCTTAGTTTTAATTATCAAAAATTGTTATTAAAATACTACTACAATACGAAATAAGTTTAGAATTAATTTAAAAATATATATTAATAATGTATTGCTATGAAAGAGTCAAAAGATGTTTAATTTTTTAATTTATATTTTTGCATTCCAGTTTATTTGTGGCTGAAAAATGGCGTTTGAAATGACTAAAGAATACAATCGTTACATCGAAATTAAGCGTTGAAACAAATCGTCTAGTACCCGGTTCGAAAATGGATAACATCAATTTCATTGTTATTGCATTCATTTTTTTGAACGGCAGTATCAGCGTGAAATGTAAGTAACAACAAAAATATTTTTTCAGTAGATCGGATCTTTGATTTATTTTTAGAGTACCATATTATATAGGGTAAATTACAATATGCTACTCACCTTTTTGAAATCGAGAATTTTTTTTCTTTGAATTTAATTTTATACTTTACTTATTATAATAATTTCTTAGTTTTATAAATTAAGTGTAAATAATGAACGACCACTACAAATGATTATTTCTGAAAGATAACAATGTTTCATTGTAAAAAAAAAAAAAAAAATGATTTACCGAGTTATTGGGTTATTATTATTAGCATTATTGGGTTTTCGTTTAAATTTTACCCTTACCAACTTATAAACACACAAAAACATACGTATGCGTATGTACTTTATGCATAAGAAAATGTCAAAACTAATGCAATAGTATTTTTACAATAAACTTATATAAATACTTAATAATATTAAATTAAAGCAATATAACTTTTTTTTTTGCTATCACTTATCGTTTCCGTATAAATTATAGTTGAATTCAAAAGAATAACTGATCATTAGACTGAAGTCTATCATATAATAATACTTATATAAATGTTTTATGATATTCCGTGATGTATGTCAATTTCTATCAAATAGTGATTCGTAACTGGATATATATATTATACGTATTTACGTAAAGTATGATTCGTTTGATTCGCTTTTCAAGTGTTTTTGATAGCAAAAGTGGTTAAGACTTTATAAAAGCGCATGAAAATATAATATAACAAATAGTTCACAAAGACATGGATGACTGATTTATCTGTGGCTGATATTTTCTTAAACTTTTACACACTTAAAACTTCTATAGACACAACTGTCGTTTTTGTTATAACTAATTTGACGTTTTGTGGTTAAAGAGACTTCAACGTCATGCTTAAACTTTTTAATTACTCACATGATTCCATTGCCTAGTAATTTTAATTTTTTAACGTGTAAAAATTTAAGGTGTAAAAATCTACACTATGGCGTGTACAATTTAAAGATCAATAAATTATTGTTCATAAACAATCCTGAAGTACGAGTTGAATAAAATATGAAGTACATAAAATCAAACTCGCACTTACCATCAATAAATGTACGGCAACGACATCTTTTTTTTTAAACCATTGTTTATTAATAAAATATTATGTTCATGATGTGGATTGTCAAGCTAAAAAAATTTAAGAAAGATATTGACTTATATAAAGACTTTTAAGTTATTATTTTACTAGAGCTTAACTTAAATCTAAAAATTATAATAGCATTTCAAAATGATCAATATTTCATCGCATCGCAAATTTTGTCAACAACCTGAAAGTCAATGGACGAAGACTCTTGCAAAGAACAACAGTAAGTTATTTTGGTCAACCAGAAGTAAAGAAAAGTTTTTTAAACTTAAGAGCAAAACGAATATATGTCGATGGCTTCAAGAAAAAAAGGGGCTAAGTGATAGGTATCAAGGTTTTCAGGAGAGCAAAAAAACGATTTTTATGTTACTTTTTAATATTTTATAAATACATTTTTAATCAGTGCCGGCGCTAAGTGAGGGCAAATGGGACATTTGTCCGTGGCCCCACGCTTGTTAAAGGGCCCCGTGATTTTTAATTATCATCTTAATACTGTGAGACATATTGATAATTTATATCAAAAAATTATAAATCAATATTAAGCCTATCGCCAATTATTTGGAAAACGATATCAAAATTTAGCCATAGTAAAAACTACAAAGTAAATTGTTATCGATACAAAGAAAGCGTAATATTTTGACGATACTCTTCGAGTAGAATTCCTAAAATAAATAATAATAGAAATATTTATTATCTCTATAGTTATTGTTTTCTCTGTTCTTTATTTGGAAATAATATTATTATTATTATAGAAGGGAAAAAAGCTATATTCTTAAAATATTTATTTGATAATCTAACATTAAGTTCAATATTAATTGAGTATTTGACCGCAGTCCGCTTTGCACGTTTCTGTATTTTTTCAACAATTTCTGCATATCACAAAAGTAAGTTTTCATTTTATGAAATTATTATTACACTTTAGTTAAGTGTATAGCCGTATAAAATATAGGTAGTATCAGGTGTATCAGGAATCAGGATTAGTTTTAATATGTATTGTCTACCGTCGTATATTGTATTATTCTGCCTGCCGTGGCCACATACTTAGATATTAAACAATTGATTATTTTATTCATTTTGATAATAAATTATTTAATATTATTATTATTTTTATTGTTTAAAATTCAAAGAAAAACTGTATTTTTTTTTTAAAAATCCTTATTTAAAAAAAGCTAGAATTTTGCCCCTCTCTGGGAATCTAAAGGCTAATACCTATGTCCAGGGACCCGCAGTACCTAGCGCCGGCACTGTTTTTAATTATATTTTTGTTGTTTTTACGGTGATACAATTTTCAATTAGTTGTATTTATAATGAAAGCATAGGGAGCTATTTGAGTAAAAAAAAATTTATTTTTTATTGCTTGTAACTAAATTGTTTATTGATGATAAATGTTTTTATCACTTAATTCTAAATAATATACCATTATAATCAGCTCTTTTGGAATGTTTGTCGCTTGTTTTATGCAGTAATAATAATTATTATAATTTTATAAATGAACAAGATGTAATTTGGCCCCATAAATTTTATGCTATTGGCATTTGGACCCTAAAAATATCGTTTAGACCCACGCTTTAGAGTTTACATACTATGAAGGGTTGTTTTTATCCTAAATTAAAAAAATTGATTATTTATTATAAAATGGCCAGACTGAAGTACCTAGACATAAATTTTGATCCTACTAAATCTCCTTAGACCTTAATGTAGGTCAGCCCCTTTCGTCGTGAAGCCATTGATGTAATGTGAATAACGATCAATGGCCAATGGGTGTTCGAGACATGGACTCCTTGCGGGCTTCCACGGGTACGCCACTTTTTGAATTTCTGGTTTTACTTGTATTGAAATGATTCGGTTGGTTTTATAGTATTTCGTATTTTTTACTATTCAAAATCGTGTGTAAATGCGTAAATACAGAAGCGATCGGGGTGAAAATTTGCTGGCTAAAAGTTAAAATTCTTCACGTATATGATGTGTATCCGGGTAACTTATTGTCGGAGTTAATTTCGTTTCGAGAATATATTGTGCACACGTTTTCCATTCTTACGCCGCTACTTTTCTGTAGCGTAGTATTGAAATCTGGAGTCGCGTCTTTTTTTATTATGTTTTTATTGTGCGTTCGCCCCATGATTCGTCATCAGCATAATGACAATATTGTGCGTAAGAAGCTCATGGTGTACGGTATGTTGTTATACATTTCTTTATGGTGATTACATTGTACACGTCATCATCTCTTCACACACACACACACACACACACACACATAAACATTATGCAGAAGAACGAAAAATGCACACATAATAAATCCAAGTAATGTCGTTGTACTATACGAGTAAATGTACTTGGGAAGGGAGAAATGTGTATATAGTTTATGTCTACGAGTATAACATATTAATAGAATTATTGGCATGACTGGGGAAGTGGGTTAAGTATTCAAACTTATCTCAAAATTTTAACGATTTCAGAAAAAAGTATTGATTAATATTTATACACAATTTAAGTTTAATATCACAAACATTTGACATGGTTATTTATATAATCCATTTTCGATTTATCTAATACTATAAATAACATGGAGCGTAGTCCGTGAATTAAATTACTTATTGTATTATATTAAATGCATCTTATCGATAAAAATATTTAATTTGTGGAAGAAGAAAAGGCCTGAATATTTTTTTAAACTCTCCAATATCTAATAAGATGGTCAATTTTCAATATCAATGATTCAAAATGTACCATAATTTATTATTATTTTAATTTTTTTTTAACATGACTTTTGTATATGTATTTTTTAATACTCATATTATATTATATATATATATATATATATATATGAATGTTGTAAACATACACGCCAAAATTATTATTTTATTAAATAAATACATTTTAAATACATGAAAAAAAAAATAATAATAATAAAAGTAAAAATATTAATCCTCATTCCTCCCTCTCAGAAAAATATATAGACATGCTCCTGAATATAATATTATATATTCATTAATACACATTTTTATAATACGTATGATATAATAACAAATTATATATTCCAATAAATGATATATAATATATAATACTATAGGTACATATATATTATAAAAATGATTAAGATTATGGCGCAAAGTGCGGTAAAAACACAGTTATTCGTAGATACTGAATAAATTGTTAATACTTCAAAAATTGTTTGATTTGTTGTATTTTTAAAATTCCGAAGACCCATATTTAAATTTAAACTACATTTTGTGAAATATGTGTAATTGCGATGGTATTTTTTTGTTCGTAATATTTTAACAAAATATTTATATTTAATACATAGAGGTATTAAGATTCGAAATATTAGTGTAGGATTAAAAGATTATTTTTAAAATGAACTGAAAATAAATTAAAAACGTTGAAACGTTTTTTTTTTTCGCGTACATTTTTCAACATTTTATTTTATAACTTAATTTTTAACTGTACATTTGTAAACACACATTGTACAGTTTTTTTTTTATAATTTAATTTTATTGATATTACAATGTAATACTTTAATAAAAACAAAATCACATTACCTTTTAACTATCCGTTATATAAATTAAATACATCGAATCAAAGTTTATACGTACCACGTTTGTTAAACATCGTTATTCCTAAAATAATAAACAAATAACACAGCATTGTAACAAAATAGGCATTCATCCAAGTAGCCTACAGAAATTTAAAGTTTGTGCTTGGTGCATTTTATATTATGATAATCTACCTGATAAACGAAAGGATAAGGGACAAGCTCACATCCTGTTTCTCAAGTTTTTGTATATAAAAGCAATATTTTTATTAATTTCAGTCATGTAAAATGTTGAATACGAATTTTGTTGTATTATATTGGTCGACGTCGGTATACATAACATAATATGATTG